ATGTTTAATTGTGTTTTTCATGTCACTCGATATTCTCTGAAAACAATACTCTAGTGGATGCTTAGTCACCATTCTTTCACTATGCAATATTTTTTGTTTTATTTTAATATATTGCTGTTTTATATATATATGATTAGAATGAATGTCTTTTTGTTTGTTGCTTTGAGTTTTTTCTAAGGCAGTGTTTCGGTATATGAAATATCTGTGTCTAAAGGTATGATTGTTTTACAACTAGAGAACCAAAATTCCCCTAGGAAAGTTACCAAGGTTGCCCCAGCTCACTGATTTGGCTAACAAATAAATATTAAGTGCCTTACATGTGTTAGATCTAGAAATTTTGTTGATTATTATAATTGGCAAAATATATTTCCTTGAAGTTTGGGGGGGGAGGCCACAGCTATTTCAAGGATTCTCCTGGACTGATCAAAGCTTCCTAATTGATCAGAGTTAGAGTGTTTCATATCCAGAGCCAGTTTTCATGGGTTACCTTTAGTCCCCTCAGTAGCCATTCGCTGTCCATCTTCTCATCAGACATAAAATTCTTGTGAGAAACCCATTGGGATGTATTTACTTAGCAAACCTCCAACCCCAAAATTAAGATGTCATCAGATACCATCTGAAACCTGCAGCCGAGATTGCAGCCCTTCCCAGCCTTGCTGTAACCAACCTCACTGACGTTCCCATGTATCTGAAAAGCACCTCGTTTTCTGACAGTCAGCTCTGTTACTTCCATAATTTCATGAAACTGTTACACATTAGAATATGGTATGTGCACAACCTAAATCTGTGTCATAGGCACTCACATGTGGCTCTAGAATAAACCACTTCTGATTCCTTCTGAGGTGAGAGCTGTGTTTTGCATTGTGCGGAAAAGGTCTTTCCATCTCATTAGGTTGAGATTGTCCTCCTTGCGATCACTGAGCAAGGTTGAACACCTTCATGACTTTGGGTTTAAGTTTGGGTCTCTTTTAGACAATGTACCAAAAATAGCCTCAGACTCACTCCATACATAAAGCTGGCCTTGTATTCTTGACTCTCCTGCCTCCACCTCCCAAGTGCTGGCATTACGTCTGTGTTAATTTATTTATTTCTCAATTGTTTTCTGAAGCAGCTATTAGAAGCAGAGCTCCCTGAGCCTGGCAGTCACATGAGCTGCTCTGCTCCTTCCAGGAGGGGGTGTCTCTTTCAAAGGAGGTGGCTCCATAGCAACTCTTCCTTATTTTAATTACAAACACATAAACACTGGGCATGCACATGATTACAAATCCAAATAGCCCTTGAGCTGGAGAGAGGACTCAGAGGTTAGGAAGTGCTTCCAGGGGGCATTGGTGCGCACCTTTGATGCCGCTACTTGGAAGGAAGACTCAGGTGGATCTCTGTGAATTTGAGGCCAGCCTGTTCTACAGTCAGTCAGGGCTACACAGTGAGATCATAAACCAAGCAGCAACAAAAGAAATGTCTTCCATAAATCTCATTCAAACAGTAGCCTCTGCTTCTTTGGGTCTGTGTTCTCCTTCAGCTTTGGATGCTGTAGCATCTTTTCAAACACCTGGGAGATGTTTTTGTTGTTTTGTGGAGTGTTTTTCCAAGATTTTTTATTTTATGTATATGAATGTTTTGCCTGCATGCATGTGTATGTGCCATGTGTGCAGTGCCTCTCTGTGGAGGCTAGAAGAAAGCATCAGATCCTTGAAACTAGAATTAACAGATGGTTGTGAGCCACTTGTGGGGGCTGGGTACCAAACTCAGGCCCTCTGCAAAAGCAGACAGTGCATTTAACCACTGACATCACTCTAGACTCTTGTCAAATTTCTATTGTAATGGTGGTCTACATATCATTAGACAGCCATACTATGAGTCTTAATGTTTCTCTGAGTAAAATAAGATATTTTTAAACAAATGTGGTGGGAGAAGCTAAAGGCTGTCTAGTTGGTCTTAAAGGGGACTCATCCCTTTATGATGACATTGTTGTGGTGCCTGCTGGGCATGGTGACTAACACCTATAATCTCAGCACTGTCAAGGCAGTAAGATCAGGAGTTTGAGGCCAGTTATGTTACAAATTGGAGAAGAATTATATGAGACATTATTTTAAAAAAAGGAAAAAGAAGAGAAGGAAGTAGAAGGGAAAACAGAAAAGAAGAAAATAAACTCATATTGATTATTTGTCTGGGCACCTAAGACATTAAACTCAGACATGCTTGTTACAACCACCATAAAATGTAGATTGGAGTTCTTGAAGCAGTGGGCAGTGATAGGCTGTCCCTGTTCCCTGGAGTCATATAGACTTGAGATCTCTTTCCAGTTAGTCTGCACTTGGTGGGCACTTGTGGCTACAAGACACATTTTCATCTTGGGTCTGTGGTCTGTATCTAGGGAATGCCAAGAAGGTTTGCCTTAAAAAATATAGAGATCAAATGCAGGACCCTGTCGAAGTCCTGCAAAGGATCACAACACACCTGGGTGGGTGTCATCTCAAAGCTGAATGACTTCACAATTGTGCTTCTTCAGCATGCACAAGTACATACACAAACACATGTAGAAATACTTTTTCCTGTAGATGTGTGTTTTGTCTACATGTGGGTATGTGTACCACATGTTTGTCTCCTGCACTCTGAGGTCAGAGAGAATATTAGATACTCTGGACTGGAGTAACAGATGCTTAGATTTAAAACCAGGGCCTCTACATGAGTAGCAACTGCTTTTGATCTCTGAGTCATTTTTCCAGGGAGAAATAATTTTTTTATTAAAAAAGGTGGCAAGGGGGAACTGTTAATCATTATGCCTTTGATAGCAAGCATTAACTGACCACGGGCACACTGAAACCTATGCCCTCCTCACCCCGACACTAGTGCTGGAGCCATCTCCCCACTACAGAATATTTTGGAGGACCAGATGAAAGTCTCTTAGCTGTGACTTCCTAGATAGTCTTAAAATACGATGCATGCAAGAGATGGAGAGATGACTTGGAAGTTAAGAGAGCATAATACTGCTCTGGCAGAGACCCGAGTTCAGTTCCTAGTACCCTTGTCAGAGAGCTCATCGCCACCTCTGAGTCCCTTTTCAAGGGATATGATGCCCTCTCCTGGCCATCCACGTTGTACACAAACACATATGCAGGCAAACAATAGTACACATGAAATAAAAATAAGTGAATCTTTAAAAAATAAAATAAAGATAAATCTTAAAAAACAAAGTGATGCATGCTTATGACTGTTGGATTGCAGAATGCAACCCCAATCTCAGTTCTTTACAGACTTCAGTGTCTGTGGCCTTCCTCCAAGTATCTTCCCCAAACTGTCTTTTTTGCTGGTAGAATTGCAGAACAAAAAGACAGACATTAGACCCTGGTAGAAATTTAGTCATGCATTTTGAAGCTAACATATAGAAATTTCCATCGCAAGTCTAAATAATTGCACAAAGTATAATTTCTTATAGCTTAAAATATTATCATTTTAAAACATATCATTGGTTCAAAGGTATGCAATGAGAATTAAATACAACATGTATGAGCCTGGCATGATCACTTGGGAATGTAAAATCAGTAGTTCAAGGTTATCCTCAGTTTTGTAAACAGTGAATTGGAGGCCAACCTGGACTACAGGAGACTCTATATCAAGAAACAAAATAAAAACAAACAAAGAGAAACTACATGTGACAGGCTGCATTACCATCACCCATTTAAAAATCCCAGTGAATAAAGTGCTATCTACCACGCCTGATGTGACCTGAGCTCCACCCTCAGGACTTATGTGATGGAAGGAAGGAACCAGTTCCCACAAGTTGTTCTCTAACCCCCACACAACACAAAATAAATAAATGTTACATTATTTGAAATTTAAAATACCAAATTCTTTTATATTAGAAATTTCATATTGGAACATGTATTTCACTTCAGCCAAGGCCTTATTCTAAAGCAATATGACTTTATGTTACAAATTCTTTCATTGCCTGCATCAACATCATTCTCAGTAACAAAATAGGGACATGCATATAAATTTAAAATTTTAATTTCCTGTGAGTTTAGGTTTCTAAGTATTTAAAGAATCTTTTTTGTTGACTTGTGGCATTGGTCTCACAAGACTTGTCAGAATGGCATGCTGAGGCACACTGGGAAATGAACAAGATGTGCCAGAGATGCATCTTTGTTAAGATTAGGTTTTTTAAACTTCTAACCATATATAGTGTATGTGTTTGCACATGAGTGTGGGTACCCTCGGAGGCTAGAAGCATCAAGTCTTCTGGGACTGGAGTTACACATGCGTGTGAACTGCTTGACATGGGTGCTAGGATTAAATTCTGATCTCTGGGATAGCCATACAAGCTGTAACCACTTAGCAATCATCTCTCCAGCCCTGATATCTTTTTTTTCTTTAGATTTATTTTCTTTTTGTATTTATGTTTTTCCTGCATGTATATGTGTACGTAGTATGTCTCATGCCCAGGAGGCTAGAAGAGGAACATGAGTTACAAATGGTTGTGAACCACTCTAAGGATGCTAGAAATCTAGCCCAGATCCTCTTCAAGAGCAGTAGATGCTCTTAGCCTCTTAGCCATCTCTAGAGCCCCCTTTCTTGCTTTTTTTAAATTTGTAGATGTGTATACATGTGTTTGTGTGTGCGTGCACGCATATGAATGCCAGAGATCAACCTCTGGCTATCACATCTGAAGTCCTATACACCTTGTTTTTTGAGACAGAGTTTCTCACTGGCTTGTCTCTTCCTCTCCAAGCTAAGATAACCAGTGTGTGTTACCATGCCTGGCTATTTTTCAGTCATTCTAGAGGTTGAGCCCAGCCAGCTTCTTATATTTACACAGCAAGTACCTTACTGACTGATGTAGTTCCCCAGCTCCATTTATTTATTTGTTTTGGTTGTTGTTGTTTGGTTGATATAGTCTCTTGTAGTCCAGACTGACCTCTGACTTGCTATGTAGCCAAGGATGATCTTAAACTCATTGATTCCATCATCCTGAACCTTTTTGTTTGTTTGTTTTATCTTAGGTACAGTTGCTGCCCCTTAACCTACTGCTATTTCAGCCAACAATTGGAACTCCGAAGTTAGCGACCTGCTACTCTGGCAATGACCAGGCTACTCAGGCTATAGCCTGGAAGAAATTCCTTTCCCACGGGTACTGGCTCTATCACTGCTGCTAAAGGTAGCTTTAGCTAAATCTCTATCATTCTATTTATGAATGACTTGAGATTCAAAGGCTGGGATGAAAACCTGGTAGCTCAGAGAGACTGAATAGCAACTAGCTAACCTTCTCTCCTTGATGGCATCTGCCAAAAACCTTGTCCTTCTGCTCTTAAGAAAAAAAAGCTACATCACTCCAAATCCCTCCCTACTGCTTTTAGTGTGTTTCTCTCTCTCTCTTCCAGACACCCTCAGATGCTCTATAATTACTTTCTGTCAACTATTGCTAACTCAGTCTCCTGACCCAAGATTACTTTTATTTAATTAACAAAAATACTAACTTGGGATTTATAGTGTGATAGAACACCCCCCCCAACATTTCTTTTTATTTTAACAGATGTGAGCACTGGGAGGTTTGTTCAGTGTGTGAATGGAGAGAACTTGAGTCCTTCCTGTAAGCAACATCACTTACTGCTTTGTACTCCCAATGTGAGTTCTGTGAGTTCCAGACCAGCCTGGTCCACATGGCGAGACATTGTCTCTAAAAAAGCTCTATTCCCAAAAATTATTTTACCTGTATTTATTTATGTGTGTGCATGCAAGTGTATATGTGCACACATGCCACAGCATGTGTGTGGAGGCAAGAGGGCAGCTTGCAGGAAGCAGTTCTCTCTTTCCACCATATGGGTTCGAGGGATCAAACTCAATCATCAGGTTTGGTGACTAGTGTCTTATCTACTGATCCATCTTCACTAGCCCCTTAAAATTGTTTTAATAGTATATCAGCTTGTGCCTGACTGATCTTTTTAAAAGTCTCTCAAAAGCAAAGAAATGGAGACTCACCGTGCTGAGCCACCTCAGTTTCTGGGAAATGCATAAAAAAAGATATTTTCAAGATTTAGTACATGACTCCTATTGTTGCCCCTAGAGGTACCTCATTTAGTCCAATGTTCTGAGAAGGAGTTGAGAAAATAGAAAAAATATTAATTTCAAAGTGCCTTTGCAAATGCAGTATTTCTTGGTAAAACACTCTTGTTACAATGTGTTATCAACATATTTTTGTTCAAAGTGTGAAAAGATGAAGATTTTGCTCATTGTAATTTATAAGCATGTCTGTCATATAATCTGGTTAAAAGTTTTCTGTCAAGCCACCATACAAGTCAGAGTTCTGTGGGGAAAGAAAATTAATTATACAAGTTTATGTTCATATATGATTCAAAAAATGACAAACTACTGGGAAGTAATGAACTTCATTTGGCTCTATGTGTGTGGGATGTGTATATGTGGTATGATACATGCATGTAGTGTAGTGTATGCATGTGGTAGGGGAATGTGGTGTGATTTGTGTGTGTGTGTGTTTTATAGAGAGAGAGAGAGAGAGACAGAGACAGAGAGACAGAGAGTATGTGTCTAGGTGGGTATGCATGCCCATGTGCATGTATGTAAAGGCCCACGCAAGAATTTGGTTAGCCTCTACCACCCTCTGCCTTATTTCCTCAAGGCCTGTTCCTTTACAAACTGAAAGCTCCATTTGGTGTTTGCGTTAGGCTGAGCTGAGAGCAGCAAAGCCCAGCCTTTCACCTGAGTCAAGGGATCCGAGCTCGGGTCCCTGTGATTACACAGAAGTACTCTTACTCACTGAACTGTCTTCCAGCCTCTGTCGACATTTTTAAAGACAAAATCTCCAAGTGCAGTGGTGCAAGTCTGTGATCAGTACTCAGGAAGCTGAGGCAGGAGGACCTCAAGTTCCAGGCCAACTTCACCTACTAAGTCTTGCCAAAACTATAAATAAGTAAACAAAATTTTAAAATGAAGACAAGATTAAAATATTAATAATGTAATTTTTACATTTGCTATTTATCATGTGGATAATATGTGAGTATGGGTAAATAGAGTCTGCCTGTAGCAGCCAAAGGACCCATGCGCCCTGGCTGGGAAGTGCTTCTGGGAAACACCTGCCCACAGGCCAGGAACAGAGACATGAAAGTAGGCCTTGGGATACCTGCCCATTTGTTGTTTTGTCCAATACAGTTTGCAAGTGAGGCCAGTGCATGTTGGAATGAAGGCTTCTTCCCACCACCATGTTTTCCCACCCCCCTGCCGGGTTACTAGGTAAACACTATGCCTGGCACAGAGAAGTGTCTGTTGAGTTGAAGTCAGCCATTATCAACACTTGAGTGACCTTCTGGGAGGACAGGAACATAGCTGCTCAGGGAGGTGGCCTTTCCCAGTGTCTGCAGAACCCTCCACCTCTGCCAGCTTTCTACTCCTGGGTCCTGGAAGCATGGCGCCTTTGCAAGAGGCCAGGCACTGGGATTCAGTTGTCCAACCTTAATTCCAGGTTAGAGACTCCTCCAAGAGAACTGGATGTCTACCTTTTCAAATTGAATGCTAACCCATCCCTCCACCCATATGAAACTGTTTAGAAAGGTGCCTTAGCAGCTGGCAATATGCCATCTCAGAACTTCTATTTTTACCCCTGAGTGTAATCAGTGGGAACATACTGTGACCAAAAGGGCATATTATGAGTTGATATGGGCCAGCAACCACGTTGGCTTTTGTTCCTGAGTGAACTAACAGACGGCATAGGACCATGGCTATATCGTGGCCAGACTTTGGACAGTGATTCCTGATTTGTTTCCAGGGGCATAAAAAAATATGCTGTCAAGATTTAAATTGCAATCAGGCATAGTGGCACACACTTGTAATCCCAGCACTTGGAGAAGGAAGACACAGGAGGATTAGGAGTTCAAGTTCATTCTTTACTACAAAGTGAGTTCAGGCCAGCCTGGGCTACATGAAGTTCTGGGGGTAGGGGAGGATTCAAATTGGTTTTAATAATATCCGATTTTCTAGGAACAGTAAAATATACTATGTTCTCAGCCTTTTCTCCTATAAATGACTCATGAGTTTAATTTCAATCTTCTGCCATTCTCTCAAAACAAAAATAATCTGAGTCAGACATGGTGGCATAGGCCTTAATCCTAGCACTCAGGAGGCAGGGGCAAGCCGATTTCTGAGTTTGAGGCCAGCCTGGTCTACATAGAGAGACCCTATCTCAAAACAAACAAACAAACAAACAAACAAACAAACAAAACTGCTGTTGAATAGAGTGACCCTGGTCTGTAATCCTAGCTACTGGAACCTTGACTGAGGTAGATGATGGCAAGTGAAAGGCCAGTCTGGGTTACAGAGTGAACGCAAGGTTGGTGTGGGCAATTAACCAGACCTGTTTCAAAATAAAATGTTAAAGAAAGCTTGAGTGTAACTCAGTAAAGTGATTGCCTTGCATGCACAAGACCCTGAGTTCAGTCCCCAGTACTTCCAAAATCTGTTGAGGAGGGAAAAGGGAGGCACAGGGAAAATTAGAATGAAGTATAATGGTAAATATGAAAAATGTGATTAAATCAGTTGCTTTGTGTGCTAACAAAATTTTAAAGTTGAGGGAAAAAATCTATTGCTGAATGCAATAGCACATTTGAAATCCCAGATTTTAGGAACGCTGAGGCAGGAGGATCACTTGATCGGACAATGCATTGAGATCCTGACTCAAAAAAAATGATAACAATAATAATAATAGTAGCCTATTGTCCAACTTGATCACATTACTGACAGTGTTTAAATTTTCATTTCATAAGTTCCACCACTGTGATAAATAAGGCATTTTGACTGTCTATGGTCTTTCTTACCACAAAATGTGGAGAATGTTAAAATGTGTATATCTAGCTGGGCACAGTGATGCAGGCCTTAATGCCAGCAGTGGTGAGGTGGCGACAGGAAGATCAGGAGTTCAGGGGCTCCTTGGCAACAAAAGTTCTGGACAACTCTGAACCTCAAGAAATACTTTCTCAAAAAACAAAAGCAAAAATAAAGGCTGGAGAGACGATTCTCTGGTTAAGAGCACTTACTGCTCTTGTAGAGGACCTGGGTAGAGTTCCCAGCACACAAAGAAAACAGCTCATGACCTCTGTAACTCCAGCGCAGAGGATGCAACACCCTCTTCTGACCTTCAAGGACACCCAAATATACACATGTACACACACACACACACACACACACACACACACACACACACACACACACACAATCTTTACAGGCAACAGTGGTAGCACATGCCTTTAATCCCAGCACTTGGGAGGCAGGGGCAAGCAGATCTCTGTGAGGCCAGCCTGGTCTACAGAGCTATAGGAGAAACTGCCCTCAGCCTACCCGAGCTGCGGGTGCCCAGGTCAGCCTGCATGAGCATGCGCGGCAGGCACTTACTCCGAGCCAAACCTTCCTCTACACCCAGAGACTGCTGACAAAGAGACACCTGACCAGAGACACCAGTGAGGAAAGGACAGCACACAGAGTCAGCCACCTGAGCCAACAGGACCTTGAGAGGATGAATAAAGGCAGGTCTAACTTCCTTAATAAATGAGTCTGCAGCACGCTCTGCTACTCACTGACTCCCAATGCCTGAGTCATTGGTGCTGTGTCTTCTCACCCCTCCCCCAAGGGGTGTCCCAGTGGGGTCACCCACAACACAGAGCTTGTTCCAGCACAGCCAGGACTACACAGAGAAACCCTGTCCCAAAAAAAAAAATTTAAAAAATGAATGAATGAATGAATCTTTAATGAAACAAAACCAAAAGGATGTATACACTTCGGCATTTGGATTAACTATCCATACATTTATTAAGGAATATATTTTCTGGGGCTGGAGAGATAGCTGAGCAGTTAAGAGCACTGGCTGCTTCTTCAGAGGACCAGGGTTTCATTCTCTGCACCCACAAGGTGGCCCACAGCCCTCTGTAACTCCAGTTGCAGGGTATCTGATGCCCTCTTCTGGCCTCCAAAGGCACCAGGCACACATATAATACACAGACATATGTGTAAGCAAAACAGCTAAAAACAAAGTAAAAAATAAAAAGAATTTTTAAAAATAATTTTCTGAGCAACAAGGGCTGCTAAACTCTTCATGAATGTTCCAGATGAGAATTTGTAGTTGAGTTGTTCCGCATATAGTAATCCTCCCGGTAGCTTTCTGGGTGATGTCATCCTACCATCTTCCTGAATCTGGGACTCTTTCCAGTGGTTGAACCCAGGAGCTTCCCGTTTTTGTTCTAAGTGATGTTTACTGGAAATGGAGGGCTGCTAGTAAGATCTCAATTCGGATAGCTTTGTAGGGACAGGAAGAATGGTTTTGGATTTGGCTGAAAACCTTTACTTTCTCCTTTGTCATTATCTTGTTTTGATAGGTTGGCTTTGTTTTGTTTTGAAATTGCTTCTTGTGAAAAACCTGGGAGGAATTCTGTGAACATTCTTCCTCCTACTCCTCTACTTACTGAGAGCCCCCCACCCCCAGTTCAGCTACCCACACCACAGAGACCTGCACACTCACACATTTGCTGCAGAGAGTGGATGGAGACAGCCAAAAGCCACAGACTGGATGGCTGACTCTATACCGCTCCGTTCTCTGGGAATTGGAAGGAACTTACAATATTTGGTTATGAACAAAAGAGACAGGGAGATTTGTCCAAGCTTCCACAATTGAGGGCTGGAACCCACTCACATCATAAGCATTTTTCTTGGAAGTTGCACACAAGGCAACTTAAAGTGTCCCAGGTTCAAAGGGTGTCAGATGCCAAGAGATGACCACATAAAAAGCTTACCTTAGAGATCAGTCAGGAAAATGAAAAGGAAAGGCTCCCAAATACACAGACTTCCTCCTGCTCCCACACACAACCCTTGATTGACTGTGAGATCTCATAAGTATGTACAATTTTTCTTTAAAAGTTTCAACATGAAAAAAACCCTCAAAACTAATTAAAAATTCAATCATCATAGAAACACTATACCGTGCGATATGTCAGGAGGTAAGGTGTTTGTAACAAATTCACACAAGGATATGGTATCATAGCACCTGGAAGGTCAGCATATTAGTTCTTTTTCTCGGTACTGTGATGAGCTACCTGACGAAAGCAACTTGAAGAAGGAAGGGGTTGTTTTGACTCGTAGTTTGAAAGTGCTATCCATCGTGGTGGGGGTGAGGTGGCAGCAGGAGCGTGAGGCAGCTGGTCACACTGCAGCCACAGTCAGGAAGGGAGCATGAGGCAGCTGGTCACACTGCAGCCACAGTCAGGAAGAGGAGCATGAGGCAGCTGGTCACACTGTATCCACAGTCAGGAAGAGGAGCGTGAGGCAGCTGGTCACACTGCAGCCACAGTCAGGAAGAGGAGCGTGAGGCAGCTGGTCACACTGCAGCCACAGTCAGGAAGAGGAGCCTGAGGCAGCTGGTCACACTGCAGCCACAGTCAGGAAGAGGAGTGTGAGGCAGCTGGTCACACTGTATCCACAGTCAGGAAGAGGAGCGTGAGGCAGCTGGTCACACTGTATCCACAGTCAGGAAGAGGAGCGTGAGGCAGCTGGTCACACTGTATCACACAGTCAGGAAGAGGAGCCTAGGCAGTCGGTCACACTGTATCCACAGTCAGGAAGGGAGCATGAGGCAGCTGGTCACACTGTAGCCACAGTCAGGAAGAGGAGCATGAGGCAGCTGGTCACACTGTAGCCACAGTCAGGAAGAGGAGCATGAGGCAGCTGGTCACACTGTATCCACAGTCAGGAAGAGGAGCGTGAGGCAGCTGGTCACACTGCAGCCACAGTCAGGAAGCAGAGAGATGGATTCTCTTGTTTTCTCCTGAACCCCAGCCCACAGGATGGTGCTGCTCATATCAGGGGTGTTTCTTCCCATCTAGTCAAGTTGTTCTAGAAACCTCTTCACAGACACACCAAGAGGTGTGTTTCCATGGTGAATCTAAATGTAAGCAAGTTGGGAAGTCTCTCTTTGAACATCTACCATTGGATTGCCACACCTGTCATGGAGGGAGTCCATGTGGGACAGAGTTGTCACTGAAGGCTGAAGCTCTGAATGCATTCGAGTTATTCTGGAGTCACAAGGCTATGTCTCTCTAGTGCTCCATTCTAGTGTAGGTAATAATATGAAGCAAAGTGGGGCATCAAAAGCTCCAGGGTATGCAGACATGTAGAAGCTCTTAATTCTCTTTGTTTTGGGTTTTCAGGATGAGACATTTCTCCTCCCTGAATGAGGAGGTGCAGAGAGGGAACATATACTGGGCAGGGAAAATGGAGGTCAAGAAGTGAGAAATTGAAACTGTTCCAATGAGTTCAAGACTACAGAGTGAGTTCCAGAATAAGCTCCAAAGCAATACAGAGAAACCCTGTCTCGGAAAAAAAAAAGCCAATGAGTTCAAGACTCACTTGTTGGAGGAATAATGTCTTAGGGGTGAAGAACATGTAGTTTGGAGTTACCAAACAGATGTCATTGATATTTGGGGCATTACAGAGAATAGGAGACATACCAGAAAACTGGTGACACTATGATTTTCAGGAGAAAAAAATGGCAGACGCAGAAATCTAGAATTGTCTGTAACCTCAGCCCTCTGAGGCAAGACTAGAATGGGCACTTGGCAAAGTGACATGACCCAGGTGAAGTTACTAAGAAATTGAGGACTCAGGTTTCTCTTCTCTGCCTTGACTAGATCACCAGTACAGGATCTGGGGGACATCCAGACCACATTGCCATCGGTCAAGCATTTCATGAGGTTTTCATGACATTGTTTAGGGCAAGATGGAGAAGTGGAAACTAGATTCTGGTGCTGTGGATGAGGTAGCAATCAGTGGAGCTAATGACAGGTGCTGTCAGGATGTCTACAGTGTTGAGGCCCACCCAGGACTACAGCCTTCATTAGACCCTCAGCAATGCTTGGACAATAAATATACATGAGGCATGCCCATCAGATTTATAGGAGTTTGGAGTAGGAAGCAGGATGAACATCAGAACACTATAAAAATCAGTGAGTTAGGGGAATGTCTCAGCAGCTAAAAGCATTTCCTGTTCTTGCACTGGCCCTGGATTTGGTTCCCAGCACATGCACGATGGCTCACAACCATCCAGATTCCAGTTCCAGGGGACCCGACACTCTCTTCAGAACTACATGGGCATCCCAAATGCAAGTGCTGCATATATGTATACATAGGCACATGAAAACAATCATATACATAAGATAAAATTTAAAAAGCAGTGGTTTGATTTCAAAGGGATGAAATTTAAAAGGGATGGCTATAAGACCTATAATACACAAACAAGAGTGGGCTGTACCTGTTTTAGTGGGAGTCAAATGCTAACAGCATCAACAATAGCAAAACCCCTAAGATTTAGGCTGTTTTTGGTGCTGTATTGTATTTGATGGTGGTTGAGATGGGGCTTGGTTACACCCTTGTCAATTTCTGCATCCTAAATAGTACCACTATAGCCAAGGCTACCTGTTGGATGTCATTTGATAAATAGTTTCAAAGAGATGAACAATAGTATCCTGTGATACTTCCTGCATACATATATAATAATGTAAGTAGCCACAAGAGAAAAGACAATAAAATATACTAAAATATTAGAAAGGAATGAGTTTGGGTTTTTTATATTGTTTGTTTTTTTCATTTTTTTTGTTTTTGTTTTTTTTTTTTGTTTTTGTTTTTTGAGACAGGGTTTCTCTGTGTAGCTCTAGCTAACCTGGAACTCACTCTGTAGACCAGGCTGTCCTCAAACTCACAGAGATCCGCCTGCCTCCGCCTCTCTGAGTGCTGGGATTAAAGGTGTGCACCACCAACGCCCAGCTTAATGTCCTAATTTTTTTAAGACTTAATTTTGTGTTTGTATGTGTGGTATGTGTGTCACCTGTGTGCAATGCCTGAGGAGACCAGCAGAGGGTACCATATCCCCCGAGGATGAAGTTACAGGTGGTTGTGAGCAACAAGAGTAATGGGAACTTTTCAGGTCTCCTGGAAGTGCATGCACGCTTAACCTCTGAGCCATTTCTCCAGCTCCCAGGTTTTGTAATTGAACAGTACATGTGTGTAGATGCTGGAGCTCCAACCTGGGCCTTGCACAAACTAGGCAAGCATGTTCCTCTTTGAACTACACTCCATCCCACACTCTGGAAAAATTTCAAGATTTATCCATTGGCTCTTGCAAGTTTACATGTACAGGTTCCTACCATGGTAACAAGTGGTAATAGGTACAAGGAAAGTTTTACTGTTCTCTGCAGCTGTCAAGCCACACCCAGACTGAATCATTTTATTCCAAAGCACGTGACTCACAGTAAAACTGTTCTGAGATTGGATTGGACAACAGGGATGACAGGGCCCCAAAGTCATGAATGTGAGAATCCAGGGACAGTGTCAGGGCTTCTGAGGCTAGAGCTGAAGATTATTGGCTCTCAAACATGGTAAGATGGTGATGAGGGAAAGGAATCAGGGAAACAGATTTCTGCCCAGTGTGAGAAGCTTCTTAGGTGGTGGAGGACCCGCTTGGGTTGGAGACAAGCCTGGACTGTATCATGAGTCATGAGTTTCAGGCCAGCTTGGGCTTTAGAGTGAGACTCTGTCTCAAAAGAAAAAAGGAAGGGGGAGAGGGAAGGAGAAACAGGGGAAACAGAGAGCAGGGTAGGGAAGGGGCTGAGATTTTTCTTACAGACGAAGGAATGGGCTGAAATAAAATCCTGCTAAATGTGGACAACAGCCTGTGGGAACAGTGAGGAGGTTCAGATTCCAGATGAGGCAGGTAACCCTGAAGACCTCCTCCAGTTCCGTGATTTCTTTGTTTTTACCTGCTGCTCTCTGGGCACAAGCAGAGGCCCCCTCACACGTGCAAGATGTGGTATAGTACATCAGAACAAAGCCAGAGCCAGCCTTCAGCCAGACCGGCGACTTCAGCACTGTGAAGCAGAGGCAGGAGAATCACTGCAAGTTCAAGCCAGCCCAGCCAGGGCTTCACAGGAGACCCTATCTCAACCCCCCTCCCCAAAAGGTAAAAAGATTAGCAAAATGGGTGGATCACCAAGTAAGTGTCTAGAAGCATCTATTTTTTTCTGATTGTGTCATTTGTCTTCCCCCACCCCTCCCCCACTTCCTGTGTCCTGCTGAGATGAATCTCTGAATGGCATAGTCTTTCTTTTTCTTTTTGAGATTTATTTATCTTTATTTTCTGTGTATGAATGTTTTTCTTTCAGGTATGTCTGTGTACCAAACGCATGCCTGGTACCCTTGGAAGCCAGAAGAGGGCATCATATCCCCTGGAATTGGAGTTACAGACAATTGTAAACCAACACATGACTGCTGAGAATTGAATCCAAGTCCCCTGCAAGAATGTCCAGTGCTCTTAACTGCTGTCATCTCTCCAGCCTGTAATTATTTTTTATAAATTTCATTTATTTTTTTTTCCTCTGAGACATGGTTTCTCTGTGTAGCCCTGACTGTCCTGGAACTTGATTTGTAGACCAGAGGGCCTCAAACTCGCAGGGATCCACCTGCCTTTGCCTCCGGAGTGCTGAAATAAAGCCACTGCCACCTAGCTCAATACAGACATTTTTAGGCAGTGAGGAGTTTCATGTATGCCAGGTTACATGAAGCTCCCTGGTTTTCCCCAGGTTCTCTATTTTCGGTGGCTCTGGTCATTTGTCCTGTGAGTCTTCCCACTCTGGGTTTCCTTTCTCTGATCTTGTTCCTCTCTGCTGTTTTCTGCCCTAATATGTGTGTTCAGAAAGCCATGCTTCCCAGGTGGTGGTGCCCACCCTTTGCCCCAAGACAAACACTGTGTGTTCTCTCAGTGACCTTAGAGCTATCAGTGATCTGCATCTTACTAATTCATTAGGGGTTTCAAATGATGGTATTCTAATTCATTGCTCCCTCACTTACTATCAGTCTACAAGCGGGAGCAGGGGCACACCTGTCTCTTCCTATCTCCTCTCTTTTTTGTTGTTAGTGTTGTTTGTTTTTTGAGACAGGGCCCCACTATGTAACTCTGGCTGTTCTGGAACCCATACACCAGGCTGACTTTGAACTCACAGAGATCCTCCTGTCTTGGCCTCTCAGGTGCTGGCATTAAAGGTGTATACCACCATACCACACTTGTTTAATGTTTTAAAAACAGGGTCTTGTTATATAGTTCTAGCTGACCTGAAACTTTCTCTGTAGACCAGGTAGGCCTCCAGCTCACAGCAATCCCCCTGCCACTGTCCTCCCATCAGAACGGCCACCATGTACATCAGTGCAGCTGTGGTCACTGTAAGCAGTCCCTGAGATCAGGCTTGTTGTCTGCAGATGGTCCCTCACAGAAGGAGGGACAGGGAGAGTCATTGAATCCAACCTGAGATTCCAGCCACTCCTCCCGCACCTCCAGCTAACCACATGTACTGTTGCCCTAATTGCATGCGGCCTGGTGTGTCAGAGGCGCTTCGTATAAAACGTGGGAGGTTAGTGAAGAGGGGGCTCGTCTCTGCAGCTTCTGGGAGGCTGTTGTCTATGCTGGGGTGAGACTTCAGGGGTGCAGCTGCTTTGGGGTCACCCAGGCTCCTGAGAGTAACCTGTCACTCGTGCTCTGTAAGTACGCCCAGTACCTTCATGGCTTCCCAAGCTGGGCTTGGGTGGAAAGCAGCTCTGCCTGTGGTGGCGCCCTATTTCGGAAGGGGCGTTTATGTCGGCTCTCACAGCAGATGCCTCATGTCAAACCGTCTCTAAATGCTCAGCATCCTCACTCGTGGTAGCTAAATCTCTGAGAGCAGCATGTCCCACGGTGTCCCCAGTCCCCCTTGACCACGGGTAGGCCCCTCCTCCAGTGCCTTTGTCACATTCCAGAGCAGCTCAGGAAAGCAGTGGACTTCCCTGTGACCCGAGAGCTTCAGAAGGGAGCACGGGGGCGGGGAGGAGGGGGGGCCGGTGCTGGAGGGTACACAGGAGGCTCTAGAGGAGCTGGGGAGGAATTAGGTCCCATCCAAGGTGAGAGAAGGGTGGCAGATTTTTGGAGCAAGCAATAACATGCGGCCCAGGTGAAAGACAAGAGGTTCTGTGGGGACATGCAGCATGGCTCAGTCCTTGTCAACTCCAGGAGGCGCAGCACCCTGCCTGCATCTTCCCTGTTCAGCCTACTTCTTGTCCTCAATCCTCGGTGACAGGAGAGGAAGGAAATGAAGCCAGCACAAACAGCTGACTAGGTGGTTCTGTGAGCATCTGGGAGACCAGCCCTGGAGGGTGGATCCCGACACAACTGGGGTTGGAGTCAGTGAAGGGGCAGCTCTGGGGATTAAAGGCGCAGGTCAGAGACACTGTCGACTCCTAGAGATTTCTTCTACTTTCTTCCTTCTCTGCTTTCCCTTCCTTCCCCTCCCCCTTTTTTCCTTCCTTCCCTCCCTTCTCTTCCTTTCCTTTCCTTCCTTCCTTCCTCACCTTCCTTTCTCCCTCCCTCCCTTCTTTTTTCCACTTGTTTTCTGTCTCAAAACTCGCAGCAATTCTCCTGCCTCCACCTCCATGGTGCCAAGAATACAATTATAAAGCAGTACCTAGTGTAAGGATTCAGGCATTATACTGACCTGCCCCTGTCACCTGGAAGAATGCACTCAGGCAGTACCCTGGTCAGCCCAGGGTTCCATGATTGTGTAGTCTGCACACAGGTGCAAAGAACCCCTTTAAAAGACAGACCCCGCCCACTTACGCTCACTCCCACTCCTCTCTTTCCCAGTGGTTGCCCTGGGGCAGACAGGACTTTTCCTGTCTCCCTCTTCTCCCTCTTCTCTTCTGTCCTCTCTCTCTCTCTCTCTCTCTCTCTCTCTCTCTCTCTCTCTCTCTCTCTCTCTCTCTCTCTCTCTCTCTCCATCTTTTCTCTTTCCTTACCCCTTCCCTCCCCTTTATAATAAAACTCATTACTTAAGCTTCATTTGCCTGTTGTGTTTGTCTCTCTGCCTTGGTTACCCTCAACTACCACGGAATCCTCCACCAAGGTCCCCCAGACTCTTTATCATAACATCTGGTGTGCCCCTTTTAAAATGAAGAGTTCCAGGGTGGGAGTGTAGCTCATTGGTAGCACTTTTGCCTAGCATTCACAAGGCCCTGGGTTCTTTTCTTTCATTGTGACAGGGCCTCACTCTATCTAGCTCTGGCTATAGCCCACTGTGTAGACTAGGCTGTCCTTGAACTCACAGAGATCCTTCTGCCTCTGTCTCCCAAGTGTTACAGATGTGTACTACTACGACCAAAGTCCTAGATTCTATTCCCAGCACAGCATAGGCTAGGAGTGGTAGCATATACCTGAACCCTAACACTCAGAATGTAGAGGTAGGAGGGTCAAAAGGGCCCGGAGAGATGGCCCAGCCATCAAGCGTGTTGCTCTTCCCGAGGACCTCGGTTCCCAGCACCCTCGTGGTGTTCACAACCATTTGTAACTTGAGCTCTATGGGATCTGATGCCCTGTTCTCAGCCTCCCTAGGCTCCAGGCACACACCTGGTACACATACACACATGCAGGCAAATCCCTCATACACATAAAATAAATAAATCTTTCTTTTTCTAAGTCAGTTCAAGACCAGCCTGGGCTACACAAAGCCCTGTTTTAAAAGAAAAAATAAGATGAAATGAAATTAAGATTTTCCAGATTGCAGCAGTTGTGCCTCAATCGGACAGCAGCCTCCTGAGAAGAGCTGTGAGGTCAGCCCTGGCAGTGGTTGCTCCTCCCCCTGATGTCTTTGGCTCCTGTGGGTTGCAGAAGCCAAGTCATCCATGTGTAACTTCAACAGTTCTCCTTCCCAGACATCTACTTCTGCCGGGAAACTCTACCCACTGCTATGATCTGATGTTTGTAGCTCCAAAACATGCACAGGTGGAAAGCTGATCCCCAATGCCATGTGTGAAGTTGCAGGGCTTCAGGAAGCTATTAGGAGCCAAGGTGGAGGGGTGACTGAGGTCAATAGATCAGGGTACCCTTGTAAAACAGACAGGGGAGCATTACCACCACCCCACCCCCACAGTGTGCCCATACCTTGATCTCAGGGCAGAACTCATAAATATATGAGTTTACAAATGGCCAGGCCTGTGGTCTCTCTGCCAGGGCAACTGAACAGACTAAGTCCCCAGGCAGCCTGGTAAGCTTGACTTTTTTTCTACCAGGCTGTAAGCACACACCAAATTTCAGGGACATGAGTAGTGCAAACATGCTCACATCAGGAGCCACATCCCTCCCTATCACAGAGAATTCAGACAGGACGGTGACTGTGCAGCCAGGGGGTGGTGCCTCAGAGTGTCCTGGAGTTAAATACCCATACTCATTTGGTGCTGAGACAGCACTCCACAGCTGAGCTGATTTCTCTCAGAAGTGGAAAACAAATCAGGTGGAAAATCTGGGCAAGCAATGTGATCTGCTATTTTTGGAGATGAGAGAGAAAAAGGGAAGTCATTGAAATTGTGTAATAACAGTGCAGAACACAGGACCATGAGTGTGGAAGTCCAATGACTATGCCTTTCCCGAGGGGGATTAGGTTGAAGCTACGGAAGGAAGAATGGACCACTCTGGGACGGCTGATGTCCCCCTGCCACCACTCCCAGAGAGGTTATGAGCCTTTGGGGGATGTGTCCAACCCCAGCTTGCACAGGGACAGGGAAGGGTGTAAACTGGCAGTGGAGAGGAGGGTTCCTCACGAGGGGCCAGCACCAGCTTTGGGAATGACATACATCTCAAAGCCACTCCCTTTGCTGTACTAAGCTGGTCGTCTCCACTGCTGGCATCCTCCCTCATTGCTTCTGAGCTGTCTTTCTCTTGTGGTGATTTTTATGTAACACCCACACACACTGCAGTGCCGGGTGGAGCCCAGTCTGTTATCACTGAGCTGAACCACTAACCACTTTGATTCTATCGTCATCGTGCTGGTATAAGTATTCGTTCCATATTTAGCTGTTTGCTTTGTAAATGTAGTTTTTTTTTCTTGTGGCTATTTGTTTTTTACAATATATGAGCAAAATACATGGAAAGTAGAGAGACTATGTAAGAATTCATCACCAATCTTCATTCCCACCCTAAAACAATTGAAGGCTCCACAGGCGTCTTTATTTTATCTGTATTTCAGTATGTATCTCTTTCTTTTTACTGTTTATTTTTGACAGTGTCCAGGCTGGACTGGAACTATGTCACCCTAACTGACTCTGAACTCCTTCTCCTCCTTCTCCTCCTCCCCCTCCTCCT